ATTTTATCCATTTCTTTTTTTTTTTTTTGGGTGTTGGGGTTGGAAAAGCCGGACCTTTAGTTTGGCAATGTAACGCGATGCGACGCTTGGTTCATTAACTGTACAAGTAGCGCAGCCGCAGCGACAACAACAAGCAAATAAACGCGAGTGCAGGCAAATAAGCGACTAGCAGATATCCTGTAAATTACAAAACAATTCCAATTAATTTCTTTAAAGTATTTTTACCTTTTTGTTTAAGTTAATTTCCAGTGAAAACTTTGTATTTAACTAATAGATAAATTGTTTATATTATGGATTATTTATTTAACTATTTCTGTTTTGTTGAATTTCCTTTTTTGGTTGTGCCCTTAGCTGAATATGCCCAATGCGTGCAACTGGCTGTGCACAGAGTTGCCACTTAGTTTGATGTTGTTTTGCTTATTGCTGTTTTTGTCGTTGTTTTTGTTGTTGTTGTTGTTGTTGTTGGTGCTTCACACCTATGTTTGTGCAACGGCTTTTGTTTGGGCTGCCTTTCGTTTCGTTTCGGTGTGGAATATAAACAACAGCCGCGACGCAGGCAAACAACTAACAGTATGTGTGTGAGTGTGTGTGTTGGTGTGTTGGTGTTTGCCTGGGCTGGGCACTCTGAGCGCATTCCATGCAGACAACTGTATCCCAACTACCAACGCCCCACAACAGTCGTCCCCCAGCGCAAATAGAGAACGTCGGGGAGTTGGAGCTCTGCCTGTGGATTGGCCCGCTCGGCCCGCTTGGCCCACTCGTGGCGCCAATTTATGACCTGTCAGAAATTTTTCACTGGTCGAAAATCGCCAGTGCCTTGAAAAACACTTTAAGTGCACGCCAGCCGCCGCACTCCGCCATCTCCGCCCTCTCTGCGCGCAACGAATTTTGTCAAAACTTCAGCGCAGCTTGCACGCCCAAAAAAGTAGGCAACAGTTTTTCATGTATTTTTCAAATTCAGAAAAACAAATTGTAAAACATAATTGCAGTAGTACAGTGTTTCTTTCTGTATATAGTTATTCGAAAGATTTAAAGCTATGCTATTAAAAAAATATAAAAACTCTAGCGTTAAGCTTAGTATAACTATATTGTGTCGGACCCTTGAACTTAGTTCATTTGCCTCATCTACTATGAAAGTACATTGTGAGAAGTCGCTTGAAGGGATTCACTCAATCGTTTATATAGTATATACTATTAAATAACAGTAAATTTTAATAAGCTTTAGATCAGCAATTCAGCGTCTCTGGCATCTCGGAGCCTCTATATACACACATTCATTAGCTTTACAAAAGTCCTACAAGTCTGCACACCTTTGGATATTTTCATTACCGAAGAGTTATGAGCTGTTGCAATATAAATAGAAATTACTATATTTTATTTAGTTATTAATTTATTAATTATTATTAATTAATTATCCTGCGAATAAGCTATTAGGGCTTGACTCATCAAAAGAAAAGTTATCTATGTTTGCATAATAATTGTATCACTCTTTACAAAATGCCAAAAATATTTACCCAACCTTTATTCAGAATTTTCTGCACTATATGACATATATATATAGAGAGAAGGAGACAGAGAGAGAAGGAGAGCTTCATAATTTCTATGGCCCGCCGACTAAGTGAGCTCAACAGATTCTTGGAAACTCTGCTTCAGCTTGAGCTGCTGTTGTTGCTGTTGCTGTTGCTGTCGTCTTATCCTTGCTGATGCCATGGCAGTGGATGTCCCTTTGTTATTGGACCATTGGGCAACCCACTCTGCGGGTCTCACCCTGAGCACACGCTGCCTTTTGGACAGTTGCCTCATGCGCGGATGAGTTGGTTGAAGGTTCAATGACGCTTTTTGACGGCTTTTGACTCTTAGCTTGTTGGCGTTGTTGTGGCTGTTGTCACTTTTTTATTAATATTGTAGCTCTTGATGTTTCTATGTGCTCTGTATGTGCATGTGCGCCCGTGTGTGTGTGTGTGTGTGTGCGTGCGTGTGTGTACTCAACCGTCTGCGTTGTCTGGCCAGCCGACGAGCCGCATAATTTCCAACGAACAACTGACTGAGCAGTCAGCAGCCCGCTTCTTCTTCTCTTTTTGGGGGAGGTGGCGTCCAGCTGGCAGCTGTGTCCAAACGGAGCGCTGCGCCTGGTTCGTTCATTTAGTCATTCAGTCAATCATTCAGCCATTCAATTTATCGTTGACTTAACTTTTTGATGGTTACAAAATGAAATTTATGAAACACCCCCTGCCCAAAATTGAAACGAAAGCCGAGCCTGTGCAAACAAAAAACAGTTGACTTTATAATGTTTGGCTGCTCGACTAGCCGATGACCTGTAAATGCTCCCATTGATTATATTTATTCACTTAAGTTAATTCTTCTCGTCGCTCTAAATTCTCTGAGTGTACATATATACTATGAACCCTTAATCCTGAGCTAACAAGTTCTTGTGTTAATGTCTTTCTCTTTATTTCTCTCAGTGTACATGCTTTCTTGCTGTTCTGGCTTGCTCTTCATTTCTCTCAGTGCATATGCGTTTTTCTTTCTTGCTCTTGAATGCCTTTAATTAATAAATTCATTATTTATTTCTTTGCAGTATTCCTCTCTATGCACTGAGAAACAAAAATTTAACTTTATTTTATTTGATTAATTTTTAATAATTTTCTTTTGCTCAGCCACAAGCTCGACTCAGGCCGTTCTTCGGCTATAGGGTATGCTTGAAGTCTTACCTTTTATTTTTGGAGCATGCCTGTTTCATTGCCATTCATACGCTTACACACACATCCATCAGCTGCTGCTGCTGCTGCTGCTGCTGCAGGAGCTCTATACGAACACCCACTCCGGAGCTTGGGCTCCGTATCTGTCTCCGTCTCTGTCTCCGTCTCTGTCTCCGTCTCTGTCGCCGTCTCTGTCGCCGTCTCTGCCGCTGCCGCCGACCTGTAGCTGCCGTCGCTGGCCCAGGCACCCTGTCAGAGTGTTATCTTTGCGGTCGCATCTATAATGGGTTTTGTCACGTCGCAGACGCGTCTGCCATCCGATTTGTCTACCTGCCCATCCCACTGCCCCTCTCACTTTCCCTCTCTCGTTCTCTCTCTATGCTCGAATGCCACCTGCCTGCCCCTTCGCGCTGCTCTGTCCACTCTCGTACGGCTGTGTGCTGACGCATGAAAAACGCACGTCGACATCAATAAACTTAAAACAAAAAACATTCTACAAGGCGCTGGCAGTGGGCGGGTGGGTGGGTGCAGTTCACCTGTGCGTGCCTGTGTGTGTATGTTGTTATTGTTGTTGTTTTTGTAATACATTTGCGTGTTGTTTAAGCCGCTTTTGGTAGTGCACAGCTCCTCTATCCGCTTAATAACTTTGGCGCCGAATGTCAAGCGCTGCCCCTTAACAGCAGCAGCAACAAGGGTGTGTGTGTGTGTGTGTGCTTGCGAGCTGTGGCAAGTGTATCAAATTGGCAGCCCGTTATCCAGTTGACTTTTCACAAATTTTCCAACATAATTGTTAAAGCTCGCAATGCGGTCAAATGTGTGCGGATGCCGAGACAAGGATGAAAGGGAACCAGATATGCGAAGTGCGGGTTGGCAGGGGGCAAAAGGTTAGGGTAACGGCTAGTTGCTGGTGTCCTTAACGTCGGCCGGGCCAGACACCCAATAAAATTATATTGTACATGCATGCAACAATAAATAAATTAGAACAAGGTGCCGCAGCGGCAGCTGTTCGAGAGACAAGGCGAGAAAGAGACAGCGAGAGGGATACAGAGAAACTGGCACTGAAATGGGGCAAACATTTTATTTGCCTTTTAATAATAAACTGAAGCATAGCAAAGGGCGCTGTGTGCCTGCTCATGTGTGTGTGTGTGTGTGTGTGTGTGTGTGTGCTTTTGAATGGGGGCGTGGCTGCGCCAACTGCGCTGTCTGCGTTGGCAGTCAGATGCAATTTATTGATAATATGTATGCGGCTTCAGGGCTTCAGCAGCAGCAGCAGCAGCAGCAGCAACAAAAGCAGCAGCAGCGGAGGCGGCAGCGGCGGATGCGGCGGCTACCTTAAAGCACTTGAGAACGTTATTTACTTACACACACACACACACACACAAAACACATAGGCGGCGGGCAGTGCGCCAGCAGCTGCAACAACAAATGCAACAAAACCTTTTGGCAATTTGTTGCGACAATTTTGGCAACATTTTGCTGACCGTTGAGAGGAAAGTTGCAGACGCCAGATGGAGCGAAGCAGAGTGACAGATAAGCAAATGGCGAAAGAGAGTGAGAAAGAGAGAGAGCGAGAGAGAGAAGCAGAGAAAGAGAAAAAGAAATTGAGACAGACGGGCAGGGAGAGACAGATAGAAACAGCAGATAGAAAGAACAGAGAAAAAGAGAGAGAACAAGAGACAGAGAGAGAGAGAGAGAGAGAGAGAGAGAGAGAGAGAAAGCTTCCGAAGTAGTATATGAAATATTTCTTCTGTATTCTGAAAAATTTTCCAATTTCTTTTCTTTGTGTTCCCGGCTCGAAAACGTATCAAGTTTAAATGGGCCGAACAGATTTGTCAGATGCGAAATAAGCTCTCACAATTTCACAAAACATCCCAAGAAAAAACAATATATTAAATATATTTTCAATTGATATTATTTAAGAGAATTTAATGAATTGCGAGTGCTTATAATGGAAATTTATTGAAATCTATTTTATGACTGAGCTGCTCATATCTTGATTTAAATCGGGCTTGTCATGTCTATATATATATCATATTTCTAGCTAACTATATTCAAAGATAAGCAAAAAGTGCACAAATTATAGATAAATATTATATTAGTAATATGTGTATTTATTTACCATTAAAATATTCACAAATTGTGGTATTACAAAGTAAATTGAAAATACAACTAAATAAGCGTCAATTAAATCTGCATAGTTGACTTCCTGTTATTGTTGTAGCCAGCCTTTTAGCACATTGCACACATGCCATAGAAATTGTTTAAATAATTCTAACGTTTTCTTCTGTTGCTTTTTTAAAGGAATACAATACAAAGACTGCCTCATGCCATGCCATCCACTACTACCAACCACATTCGCATACGCATTTGCATGCGCATCAGCGCTACCAACAGCCGCAGAAGCACAACAGCAACAACATTTACAACAACTGCAACAGCAACACCAGCAGCAACAGCAGCAACAACAGCAGCAGCAGCATCTGCGGCGGCAGCAGCAGCAACATTTCTAGCCACAAACAGCAGAAGCAGAAGCAGCAGCAGCAAAAACAAAAGCAACGCTACGGTCACACTGGCCGCAGCCGTCACTACAAATACGATGCCGTCGAGGAGTGCTGCCGTCCGATCTTTCACGAGCAATACGGCTCCTTTGCGGACATGTTGTGAGTGGGCATCAAGAATTGGGTGACATCAAAGCGAAACGCAAGGTACCTACAACAGACTAACTACAAAGTGTTATACTATAAAGAGGAAACGGACTCGGAGTCGGAACCAGACACAGAGACAGGGACAGAGACGGAGACAGAAACAGAAACAGAGACGGAGACGGAGACGTTAACGGATTGTAAAGCTGAAAACGATGCATAATTGTTTTTGCTGGATATTTTAGGTAGTTTCTTCTTCTAGGCATGAATGCATTCAAACACTCACACTCACACACACAGGCAAAATACCTAAAAAGGCAACACACAGACACACACAAATGTAGTGAATTTTATAGATAACGACTGCGATTATCTAAAAACATAAAAACAAAAAAATATTAAACGAATAGCGATAAATAATAAACGATAAACAATTTGAGTGTTAAATACAATTATTTATCTATGTGTAGTAATACGACATGCATACACACATACACATATATATATATATATATATATGCATATACATACATATAAATATGAGTATATATATATATATATATATATATATATATATATATACCTATATTGATGTATTTGAGTAATCTTTGAGAGCACAGAATTAAATGTTGAATATATATATTTAAAATATATGTATTAACCATGGATATCTGGCAAAACTGGCGCACGCTATTAATGTTAGGTATATGTGTCTATATATATACAAACATACATACATACATAATATATAGAGTTTACACACACATATTTATTCATGTACATAAACAATTGATATCCATTCTATAAGCTAACTATGTGAAAAGCAGTTTTTTTTTGGGGGTTAAGAATTAGCATTGAGAATTGTTGTTGTTTTTTTTTTTTTTTTTTTTTTTTTGTATTAGACTAGATCTGGGACTGGCCTGGCCTGGCCAAGAAGTTGTCTAAGGGCGTTTATTTGAAAAATAAAAACAAATAAAACCTAGAAGAAAACAAAAAAAAAAACGAAACAAAAAATATTTAAAACATGGCAAATATATTATCATACACATAAATACAAATCTATAAACTTAAATATATATATAAATGTATACTATATATACGATAACAATTTTTTTTTGTATTTATAAACTAGCATTGCTTGTATATAGACATAAAATATATATTGATGGAAAATGCCGCTGGCAAAATTTTAATAAAACAATATAATATTTACAAATATATATATGTATTAAAATGGTTTTTTTTTTTCGAACATTATTATTATTATTAACATATAAACACATAATTCTTGTTTAGACTTAAGCTCTGAGTGTTAAACATATGTAAATAAATTGGACACGTTAATAATTTAATTGCCGCACAGCTAACAGCAAAAATTCAACAACAGCAGACAGAGAGAAGCGAGCTGCGCTTAGAAGGATAAGCAAAGAGTCGCTAAAATACATAATAAAACACAAATTATTTGTATTTGTCCAGAGCTGTCGACTTAAATTACATTTGCGCAAAGAGAACAAATAAGAGAAATTAAAAAAAAAAAGAGAGAAAGAGCAAAAATTTAAAGTAAAAGGAAACTCCTAAACACTTCAAGCACATACACATACTCGTGAATACAGCTTAATAGTTGTTTTGGCAGTCAGCTAGAGCAGGACAGACAGATAGTCGAGTCGTTCACTTACTTTTTAAAAAATGTGTCTTAAAAACAATTGCGTACATGTATCTATATCTATATACATATGTATATAGATATATATATATATATATACTTACTTATATATATATATATACTTACGGATATATATTAATAAAAAATTCGATGGATATACTAACAGACATAAATAGAACACTGTCAAGCTGTCATTATTGTAAACGTAAAGTGCATTTCTACAATCCCCCAAGCAAAGCGCTAAGCCTTCCCCCATTTCCCTTGCATGTGGTGTAATTAAAACCAACTTAACGAAATTAAAAAATAATAACAATAATAATAATAATAAATAAAATTAAAATAATATTGATAGCAATTTGAAAAGCTAAACGATTCGAATGGGCAACCTTAGGAAGTGAACAGGAAAACGATTTGCCAATTCGCTTTCGCCACGATATCGCCAAAAATTCCCTTTTGCTTTGCGCCAAAAAGCAGGCAGTGCAAAGGTTTTGTTGTCTGCTTTGCCAACCACTTGGCAATAGCAGGCACAAATCAAGCAGAAAAAGAAAAAACACACATATGTAAGAAACATTTTAAAGTGAAATTGTAGCTAAATACAGAAAATATACACGCATAGAACAGACCACAAAGCAGTGAAAAACCCGAGCAGAGCGACGGGCGGGTGACCAAAATGTGGGGCAATGTCATAATTTGTCACTTGCAAAAGGCGTTGCATACTTTTGGGCACCCACACATACACACATACACACACGCACACACACACACACACACACACACACACAGAGCCAAACAGAAATGCACACGAATATATCAAATTTTAAATTCTCAACTGCACTTTGCAGAATTTTAAATGTCTACATAAACGTAAAGCATAAAGAGCAAAAACAAAGAACAAAAAAATAAAAAAAAAAAAATAAAAATAAAAATACAAAAAACCAAAATCGAAATGAAATGCATCAAATATTGGATTTAAATATAATAATAAAAGAAAAACTCAGCAGCGTAACTATTCAAATACCAGAAACTTGTAACAAAGCAAAAAACAAAAAAAAAAAGAAGAAGATAAAACACATTTAACACAAAACATAAAAATGCTAAACACACACACACACACACACACAGATACGAAATGATTTGAAATACAATTTGACAGCTGCTTTTACGTTCCTTTTACTATGCTATACATATAGAATTATAATAAATAGTTTCTCATCATTTTTATATACCTTTCCAATGCAATTTTACTTTTTTATATAAATATTTTGCTTGTTTTTTTTTTCATATATAAAAAAAAAGCTTAAAATGTGATATTTTATAAAACTATAAACCACAAGAGAGCGCAGAGACAGGGCAGTGCACTAAAGTGCCGCCCAGAGATCAGCAGAGAAAGCGGAAACGAAACTAAAACCGAAACAGAAAATTTATTAGAACCGTCTGAAAATGAAACACACACGGATATACTCTCTCTCACACACACACACACACACACACACACACAGACACTCTTTAAACAACTCGAATATAGGCATTATTTAATAAAAAACCTTTGAATAAACGTTTTGGCACGAAACGTTTGCACATTATTGTCATTAAATTATGATTATTATTGTATAATTTAAGCAACTCAACTGTAAGTAACGTTATGCATATTAATTATTGAAGAAACAAAAATAAAAACAAGACAAAAAAAAAAGATCACAACTAAATAAAAACAAATAATGTTTTAAAACTATAATTAATTTAATGAGAATTTCAACACAAGAACGAATAACGCAGAAAAATTAAATAAAGATTTCAAATGCAAAACAAACATATTACCAGAGTTGTCACTTTTCCCTCAGTTTTTTTTCAGATTTTCTGGTATGGAAACAACTTTAAATAAACGGTTAATGAAAGGGGGTTTATATAAACCGATCTGACAGATCGATTGGATCAGAACAATGCCATAGAGTTTCCCTCTGGATTCCGACCGGATTGGCTTGCAACAGTCTCAGCTCAGCCAGCGGCAACCTGCACCGCAGCGACTGTTGCTGCTACTGTTAGTCTAACAGAGCCAACAGCAGGCGGCTATAATCTTTTGTACAATACGTTCCACATACGTGGTGTGGAACGCAACATGTTGGCCAGCGAACATGTTGTCCGGCATACATTTCGGCTGTGCATTACAGGTGGCCGCTTTGCGCAGCATACTTTCAGGCGGATCTTAATTTAAAAATTGAAACAACGAGATTATGTCGAGATTATAACGACATATCTCCGCCGAGATAACTCCTTGGCGAGATTATGTCGTTTTAAAGCGACATATCTCCGCCGAGATAACTCCTTGGCGAGATTATGTCGTTTTAAAGCGACATATCTCCGCCGAGATAACTCCTTCGCGAGATTATGTCGAGATTATAACGACATATCTCCGCCGAGATAACTCCTTGGCGAGATTATGTCGTTTTAAAGCGACATATCTCCGCCGAGATAACTCCTTGGCGAGATTATGTCGTTTCTTAGCGACATAGCTCCGCCGAGATAACTCCTTCGCGAGATTATGTCGTTTTAAAGCGACATATCTCCGCCGAGATAACTCCTTGGCGAGATTATGTCGTTTTAAAGCGACATATCTCCGCCGAGATAACACCTTGGCGAGATTATGTCGTTTTATAGCGACATATCTCCGCCGAGATAACTCCTTGGCGAGATTATGTCGTTTTAAAGCGACATAGCTCCGCCGAGATAACTCCTTGGCGAGATTATGTCGTTTTAAAGCGACATAGCTCCGCCGAGATAACTCCTTCGCGAGATTATGTCAAGATTATAACGACATATCTCCGCCGAGATAACTCCTTGGCGAGATTATGTCGTTTTAAAGCGACATATCTCCGCCGAGATAACTCCTTGGCGAGATTATGTCGTTTTAAAGCGACATAGCTCCGCCGAGATAACTCCTTCGCGAGATTATGTCGAGATTATAACGACATATCTCCGCCGAGATAACTCCTTGGCGAGATTATGTTGTTTTAAAGCGAAATATCTCCGCCGAGATAACTCCTTGGCGAGATTATGTCGTTTCTTAGCGACATAGCTCCAACATAATTCCTCCAAGAAGAGATTATGTCGTTTTATAGCGACATAGCTCCAATATAATTCCTCCAAGAAGAGATTATGTCGTTTTATAGCGACATAGCTCCAATATAATTCCTCCAAGAAGAGATTATGTCGTTTTATAGCGACATAGCTCCGCCGAGATAACTCCTTGGCGAGATTATGTCGTTTCTTAGCGACATAGCTCCGCCGAGATAACTCCTTCGCGAGATTATGTCGAGATTATAACGACATATCTCCGCCGAGATAACTCCTTGGCGAGATTATGTCGTTTCTTAGCGACATAGCTCCAACATAACTCCTCCAAGAAGAGATTATGTCGTTTTATAGCGACATAGCTCCAATATAATTCCTCCAAGAAGAGATTATGTCGTTTTAAAGCGACATAGCTCCAACTAACTCCTCCAGAAGAGATTATGTCGCTTAAAAGCGACATATCTCCGCCGAGATAACTCCTTGGCGAGATTATGTCGTTTCTTAGCGACATATCTCCGCCGAGATAACTCCTTCGCGAGATTATGTCGTTTCTTAGCGACATAGCTCCGCCGAGATAACTCCTTGGCGAGATTATGTCGTTTCTTAGCGACATAGCTCCGCCGAGATAACTCCTTCGCGAGATTATGTCGAGATTATAACGACATATCTCCGCCGAGATAACTCCTTGGCGAGATTATGTCGTTTTAAAGCGACATATCTCCGCCGAGATAACTCCTTGGCGAGATTATGTCGTTTCTTAGCGACATAGCTCCGCCGAGATAACTCCTTCGCGAGATTATGTCGAGATTATAACGACATATCTCCGCCGAGATAACTCCTTGGCGAGATTATGTCGTTTTAAAGCGACATATCTCCGCCGAGATAACTCCTTGGCGAGATTATGTCGTTTCTTAGCGACATAGCTCCAACATAACTCCTCCAAGAAGAGATTATGTCGTTTTATAGCGACATAGCTCCAATATAATTCCTCCAAGAAGAGATTATGTCGTTTTATAGCGACATAGCTCCGCCGAGATAACTCCTTGGCGAGATTATGTCGTTTCTTAGCGACATATCTCCGCCGAGATAACTCCTTCGCGAGATTATGTCGTTTTAAAGCGACATAGCTCCAACATAACTCCTCCAAGAAGAGATTATGTCGTTTTATAGCGACATAGCTCCAATATAATTCCTCCAAGAAGAGATTATGTCGTTTACAAGCGACATAGCTCCAACTAACTTCTCCAGAAGAGATTATGTCGTTTTATAGCGACATGGCTCCGTTGTTTTTGTTTTTTTTTGTATAAGACTACATCTGGGACTGGCCTGGCCTGGTCAAGAAGCTGTCTTAACTAAGGGCGTTTATTTGAAAAATAAAAAAAAATAAAACCTAGAAGAATATAAAAAAATAAAGAAACAAAAAATTATTTAGAACACGGCAAATATATTATCATTCACATAAATACAAATCTATAAGCTTAAATATATATATAAATGTATACTAACTATACGATAACAATTTTTTTTGTATTTATAAACTAGCATTGCTTGTATATAGACAAAAAAAATATATTGATTAATAAATGAAACAACGAGATTATGTCGAGATTATAACGACATATCTCCGCCGAGATAACTCCTTGGTGAGATTATGTCGTTTTATAGCGACATAGCTCCAACTAACTCCTCCAGAAAAGATTATGTCGTTTTATAGCGACATAGGTCCAACTAACTCCTTCAGAATAGATTATGTCGTTTTATAGCGACATGGCTCCGTTGATTTTTTTTTTTAATTAGACTAAATCTGGGACTGGCCTGGCCTGGCCAAGAAGCTGTCTTAACTAAGGGCGTTTATTTGAAAAATAAAAACAAATAAAACCTAGAAGAGAAAAAGAAAGGAAAGAAAAAAATATTTAAAACACGGCAAATATATTATCATTCACATAAATACAAATGTATAAACTTAAATATATATATAATATATACTATATATATTATACATTTTTTTTTTTATTTTTTTATTTATAAACTAGCATTGCCTGTATATAGACATAAAAAATATATTGATTAAAAAATGAAAAAAACGAAATTATGTCGAGATTATAACGACATATCTCCGCCGAGATAACTCCTTCGCGAGATTATGTCGTTTTATAGCGACATATCTCCGCCGAGATAACTCCTTGGCGAGATTATGCCGTTTTATGGCGACATATCTCCGCCGAGATAACTCCTTCGCGAGATTATAGCGACATAGCTCCAACTAACTCCTCCAGAAGAGATTATGTCGTTTTATAGCGACATATCTCCGCCGAGATAACTCCTTGGCGAGAATATGTCGTTTTATAGCGACATATCTCCGCCGAGATAACTCCTTGGCGAGAATATGTCGTTTTAAAGCGACATAGCTCCGCCGAGATAACTCCTTGGTGAGATTATGTCGTTTTATAGCGACATAGCTCCGCCGAGATAACTCCTGCGCGAGATTATGTCGTTTTAAAGCGACATATCTCCGCCGAGATAACTCCTTCGCGAGATTATGTCGAGATTATAACGACATATCTCCGCCGAGATAACTCCTTGGCGAGATTATGCCGTTTTTTAGCGACATAGCTCCGCTGAGATAACTCCTTGGCGAGATTATGTCGTTTTATAGCGACATAGCTCCGCCGAGATAACTCCTTGGTGAGATTATGTCGTTTTATAGCGACATAGCTCCGCCGAGATAACTCCTTGGTGAGATTATGTCGTTTTATAGCGACATAGCTCCGCCAAAGTGTTGGCGAGATTATCTCGACTTATAGGAACAAAGCTCCGTCGAGATCGAAGAAAGGACATTATGTCAGCACGCAGATTCTTGCGGCACATCTTGATAGCCGATTACAAGCACAACTGCCCTTATAAGAGTTTTGAATCCAATGTCATAATCTAAATTAAGCATTTGGGATTTTGTAGTTTTGCAATTAAATTGTTTGCAAATCTTATTATTATTAAAACTGTTGGAGCTGTCAATTTACCGCTTGAATAGCTCGCCAGCTGGCCATTGTTGTCCGCCCAAGGATCCGACGCAGAGAAAGAGATAGAGGTGGGGAGAGAGAGAGACAGAGAGCTGTCTGCTTGTCCATCTGGAAAATCCCGCTCGGCAAATGCGCACCCCAACACGGGCTATGGCATTCAACTAGAAATCGTAGCTTTGACCCCTTCAACCTGCAGTCAACTTTAACTTCTGGCCATTATGATGTTTTTAATATTCATATTATGACGATGCGATTTGCAAGTCTTTTCGTTAGACTGCAAATATCCTTGCACATGTATATATGTATATACATATATATATATACATATATATATATGTATATATTTATATACATACTTTAGTTTGAGTTTGGCTGATAATAAGATTTGAGCTTTAACACTTCGAGTGCAGCCATTAAATATCAAATTCGTTGGTGCCATTGCAATGATTTTTAAAGCCTTTGAGTGTTTGAGTTTTATGGTGTATATACATGTGAGCGTGTGTTTGTGTGTTATGCGTGTGTGTGGGTGTTGGGTGCGCTGCGGGCTCGTTGTTTGTATCTGTAAAGCAATTAATAATAATTGGCCCTAAAAACCCCTTTTTTTAGTCTGTGCCCAATGTGTAAGTGTGCCTGTGCCTGTGTGTGGGTGTGTGTGTGGGTGTGTGTGTGTGTGTGTGGATTTGTGTGTTTAACAACAAAGCTACAACAACTACGTCAGGCAGCAGAGCTGCCCCGCTGGGGTGGTTCGGGGTGGTCAGGTGGAAGGCAGCACTGAGCAACGGCTATTTGCAAATATTTACAACATCCGCTGTTCGGGCTACACAAACAAAACCCAGCACACACACACACACGCATGTGTGACTTCTCTGTGCGCGTTGGCAAATAAAAGTTCTGAAATGCGATTATCTTGATGAATTGGAATTTGAATTTTAATTCTCTGCTCTCGACCAACAAAAACAGATACAGCTACAGCGGGCCGTAGCGATGGCCGTCAGCAGTGACATCAACCCAACTAAACCAAATCAGGCACGCACACCACCCACCACCCACCACCCACCACCCACCTACTAAAGTACCGCGCCGTTGGGCAATTGGCCACCACTTGTTTACCAAAAGTTCTCGCATTTAGCATTTACATTCGGCAGCGAGCGAGCAAGGCTTTCCATCGAATTGCTGGACAGGATTTGGCGTAGATTCGTGCGTTGTGGCCACGCTGCAGTTGCTCCGAATTGGACACGGCGGCATCGGCATCGCATCGGCATCGGCATCAATTGCCTTGTTGGCGTTTTTCATACCTGTTGTAATTGCAGAGCTGTCGAGGACCAGCCATGTGTGTATCTCTAGCTGTATCTGTAGCTGTAGCTGTATCTGTGTCACAGGCAATTCTCAAAAGCATAAAAGTCAAATTTGTCGCATGGCCCACAGAGATGGCAGCCGGCAGTTTTGTATTTCCCCAAGCAGCCGCAGGGCAAACGCGTGGGACATCGGGCATGGGGCATGGGGCATGTTGCAGGTAGCAGTTGGGACATGTAGGGCAGATGGGGCTACTGGCTGCTGACTGGTGGCAGGTGGCGGCGAGTCAGGTAATTGGCTTTGGTATATTCGTATCTCGAGCATATGGTTGTCATTTAGATACGCACTCACTTTTGCACATGCCCCACATGACATCCCCAGGACTGCGCCTGATCCCGCAGCAGCAGCAGCAGCATCAGCAGCAGCCCGAACCGTAGCCAGGGACCCGTCAGCCCAGCTGGCAAACAAAACACCGAACTGGGAAGCTGGCTATCGGAACAACGTAAAAAGGGTGTACGTCTGACCCCTTTCAGGCGGGCGGGAGCGTTGCGTGTTCCGCATGGTTACAAATAACGTTACGCAGCGCCCCCGCCGCCCCGCCGCCCCGTTGCCCACTTGAGTCGGGCGCAGCTGCAGATACAGTTGATACTGTCCACAATGGAGCGAATATTCTGGCCTAATGAACCCTTCAGTTGAGTTACTTGCTAACTGTTTGCTGCCCTCAATCTACATGGGCCCCCCCTACCTTTGAATCTGGCCCCATTAAAACTGACAAGTGTCCACTCTTTCAGCGATTATACAATATTATATGTACTGCATGTCGATTTCTTTTACCTTTCGCTTGACATCAGAGTGTCCTGCTCTGAAAAGGCGTGTGTTCTTCTGAGGCCCTTTACATAAATCGACAATTGGCCTGAACTGGAGGGGTGCAACTCCTTTGTTGACTTGATTAGCTAGCCTGCAGTAAAGACTTATAATCGCATGCTCTGGTCATCTCAATCCTCTCAATATTCAAGTTTCGGAGCTCTCGTCATCCTTTACAGCCAGCAGATTGATGTATCCGACATACTGTAAAATTCGGATTAAAATATATATTTTAGTATTAGCCCAATTATTAATTGATAAAGAAAGATGTATATAAACAAAGCTTAATTAAAAAATTGATGCTTTAAACTACAGTTGCCCCTTATACTCCACACTTCAAGCAATTAATGCTGTGTGCCATATTTGAGACATCTTTCGTTTGGTGTTTAAGTTCAGTTGTTGGTACAAAATGAATTGGAAGTCCGGCCGGCATCGGTTCGGCTCAAAGCCCGCTTGCAGCCATGCTTCAAAGTATATTTGTGATGTTGGCCAGCTTCTTCCATTCATGAGGCGTGCATTTGCCTTTGTTCGAAAATGGCCGCTAATTGCATTAATCAGGCATAATTAGCTGTGCGTATTAAACGGGCAGAATCAAGGCTATCTTATAGTGTTGCGTGTGTGCGCCATCAAGAGCTAGATGATGTCTGTTAATTGCTCGTTTATCAGAGATTTAACAAACTAGAAAGCGAAGTAATGCCTAAAAAGTGAAATAATTTACAATAAATCTCCAAGGATATATATAATTTATATTGAACTGTGCTTGGTTTTTTTTGTTGGTTAACTATTTACCTGAGTACAGGGTATCGCCTAGGCAAGTATAGCTTTCCATTTTGTTTCTTTTTTGTTGGTGACATTCTCTTGAGTGTTGGTTTCTTTTCACCAACATTGCCACCAGCTAATGTCCAACCGGTCAACCGCCCTTTCGCCATCGCAGCAGCCCCCCACCCGGCACGCGCTCGCCCCTCTCCTTTGAGCTGGTAATGAGACAAGACTCCTGATGTATACGAGCTCTAAGCTGATGACCGTCGCCCACTTGCCACAGTATTTATCGCTCAGTTTTTACAACTTCGATGGCTTGGGTTCGGTTGTGGGTAGAAGTGGGGGCGGGGGCGTCTTTGGGGCTCGGGGTCGGGGCAGCTGGAGGGAGCAGAGGGTCCTTAATAGGATTCACTCTGTTTATGTGCATGCTAATTAGAGACAAAAACACAATTTTGGTGCCTTTGGTTAATTGATGAAGTGAAAAAGCTGCCAGGCCTTCCCACCACAAAAAAAGAAAACAAAACAACAAAAATAAAAGCAAATAGACACAAGAAAGGAAACGGCCAAGAAAAAAAAGAGAATAAAATACTAAAAATACGTAGTAAAAGTTATCGGGCGTAGGACACTCCCAGTCTCAGTTTCTGTTTCAGTTCCCCGTTCCCAGATTCAAGTTCCCAGTTCCCAGTTCCGGTTCCTAGTTTGGCCCTCAGCGGCGAGTGGCCCATTTTCGGAGTATGCAAATGAGCTCGAGCCGGCAACAATGATAAATATCGTTTTAAATGACAAACAGGCAAAGATGTGCCAGGGCAATAATAAACCTGCAAAATTAATTGCTTTTAACCGCAAGGCGGGCAAAATTGGGCCTGGGTTTGAGCCTGCGCCTGGGAATAGGAATGGTACTCGGGGCTTAGGCTGAAGCTTGGGCTGGTTAAACTGAAAGAAAAGAGCAAAAGTGAAGAGATGAAGCTGTTCATTTGAGCTTGTCGACAATTGCATACGCTTGCCTCATTTTTAATAAATTTAATTTATTTTTAATTAACGCTAAGCTAAAATAAGTTGTATGGGTGCGAAAAGTTAAATCGTTGCAACTTGCAGCTAATTCGAGTACGTTTAAGAAAATTGAATTGCAAAAATGTAATGATGTCCAGTATATTTAGTTAAGCTTACCTGAAATTGTAGTCAACGACTCCTGAGGCTGGCAGCGAGTTCAGTTTCTTTTTCCATCTGCCAGAAAGTCCAGGATACCGTAGCCAATTCTTGTGCCTCTTGCAGAAGAAGTAACATAACCTAAAAAACTAAATAAAATTAACAATTTTAACTCTCAAGAAAAAGTTTGCTTTAATTTAAATTTAAATTTAAAGCCATATATGTACAAATACCATATGATAAACAGAATAAGTTGCCCGAAGGCACAAAGCCCATCAATTAACCGAGTAGCACAAAAAAAGGAGAGCAATTAAAAAATAATGTTCGCGATTAGCTTTGACAGAAACATTAGACAATCCACGACCAAACTGGCATATATCCTGTGCGAGTGTATTAATGAAAAAAAAGGGAAATAGCGAAAAAGAAGTGTGATGGCAACCATGTTGTGGGGGGGGACTTTGGCTGAATGAAATTAGCTAGAAACATGTTGCCTCATTAGCGCAGGCAGCAAAAGTAAATCTGCATGGAATTAATGAGCGAATGCCAACACATCAACCGGCTCAACCGTCTCCATTCGCCATTCGCCTTTCGACGCTCTCCTGTTCCCTCCAGCACGCCCGTTAAATATTCAGATAGCCTGCAGAGTTGCCAGGTAATTGTGCGCCTAATTGGTTGCATCAACATCGTTTGTGCCCGTTCCTGTGCCCGTTCCTGTGGCTGTGCCTGTGCCTGAGCCCGTCTCGATGTCCTTGTCATCTTGGCTGGCAATAGATGCGACTCTGACTCCGGCTCCAGCGCTAGCTCTGGCTCCGGCTCTAACTCTCGGCTCGGCTTCCTTGGTGTGTGCCCAGCAGCAATGAGAGAGAGTATCGGCTGCAACTGTAAATTTAGCCTACCTCGCCCCGCTGCCCCGTTTCCCGCATTTCTTCAGCATCTATGCAGCTGCTAACAACTGACAACTGACAACCGACAACTGGCAACTGCTGGCAACTGGCAACTGGCTGCGGTTATGCCTGAACAGTGTACGGCCTGTGGTTGCCCACGGCTTTCGTTGGCTGCTTGCACTTTCGATGCGAAAGTACCACAGTCAAACCCATTTCCAATGTCATGCCAATTATGGAGCGCAATTAACGCGTCTCGCAAAGAGCACGCGACGCAATTATCGAGGGCACGAGTCAACTTGCAGTGCTGCTCCGAGAAAATTGATTGTGATTGAGGGCGATTGATGATTGAAGCCTGATAGGAAAGTTTGAGTCTTCATCTCAGCCAGGAGCATCAGATGAACACAAAAGAGGACAAACTTTAGCTCCAATTCCAATTCCAGTTTTAGTTCCAGTTCCAGTTGCCGTACCAGTTCCAATTTCGGTCGCCCTGTCCATCTGGATCTTGAGCTGAGTAGAAAAGTTGACGCTGCATTGATTTTCCTTTCTTTTCTTTTCTTTTTATTTTTTGTTTCTTTTTTTTTTTTTTTCGCTGCCTCCAAGCAAATGTCATTGACCACATGCCACATGCCTCATGCCGTATTCCACACGTACAACAAAGGGGCGTTGCATTGGGCCAGAGAGCTAGCTCTAGTATTTAAGAGGGGGCAACGGGCGGTTGCTGGAGGGCTGGGGGAGGCAAGGGGAGAGCCGCAGTCAACAACCACCAAAAGTAATCATCGCAAACGTTGTCGGCGAACTCGTTTGGGTGTAGATTGTGATGCGGCGAGCAGGGCAGTGGCAGGAGCAGGGACAGGGACTGGGGCTGGGCTTCCAACTGTGAAGTGAAACTATGACGGCCTTTGGCCTCCGTTGGCTGCCGCTGTCCAGAAGCCAGTGCGGCAGGAGCTGCAGGCGGCAGCAAAAACCGAATGCGAATGCGATTAACGTTTCAATATGCGACAGTTGCACCATGGAAATGGCCAAGGAACAAGTTAAAGCTAAAGCTGAAGCTGAAGCTGATGCTGATGCTGATGCTGAAGTTGGACTTGGTCTTGACAATGGCAGTGCCCACCAGCTACTGTGCCCAGTGTCACCCAGCTCACCCCACCTCTGCCCAGCTCGTCTGGGGACCGCTTGTGGATTTGGATTTAGATTTGGATTTATCCACTGCATTCATTCAGAAAAGAACGTGCTAAGCTGCTGCAGCAGCAGAGGGTAACTTACCAGCCGCCCACCTTCCCGCACTCGGTTGTTGTTATGCAGGGACAAAAGGTCATTATAACTCGACTTGACATATATATAGAGCTGAAATCTCAAAACATACAACGAACTGCACTCGCTGCACTGAGGGGCGTCAACTCGAGTGCGGGGTGTATCATATTGGGGGGCAGGGGCTCTAGGCGCCAGCTGTTGTGGTCGCGGTCACAGTCAAACCCAATAAGCCACAGCATGCAGACGTAATGGCAATTAACGGTGCCACTTACGTAACATTTCCGCTTGCCATGTTTGCCTTTACGTCACGAAAGCAGCTGCAGTCAAATTATGCATTGAGATTAAAGTCGTTGTTAGTGCTTGACAATCGCATCTCACATTGTTTGACATTGTATTTATATCCCTTCCTCCTCTGCCCCCGTCCATGCAGCTTCATTGTGCTTTGTGGCGGACCAAGTACAATTATTTCGAGTCTTCTTTCAGTTTTTCATAGCTCTTATTAAATAATTGTATCTTACAGATACTTTGTGTGCCACAAACTTCTTTTGGCCCCACTTTTACATTTTGTATCTGACAAATGCATTAAATATACACTAGTATCTTGTAGATACGTCTCTTACTTCTAGCAGATACTTTTGAATCTGACAGCTACTTTACGGATATTTTTATACCTAACAGATGACAAATTAGGCATGCTGGTGTATCTAACAAATATATTTTGCGTTTAACCGATATCCCAGATACTTAGTTATCTAACAGATAAATTGCAGATACCCTTGCATTTAACAGATACTTTTGTATGTACGTTCTATCCAACATAAGCTTTGCTTAAACCAGATGCTTTTGTATCTGAGAGATATTTCTCTAGCTTACGGAATAAGGACAAAGGCCTAACAGAAAACACTTACATCTTAGTGCAGCTGTACATAAAACTTTCCCAGTACTGCAGTCAAATATTGAATTCCACTCAATGCAGCGCATTAATCAATTTAAATTTGTTAAACTCAAACATTAGGTACTTGTGTGTGCTTACGTCACAGAGCATGCAGTTAAATGGCGTCGTTACGTAACGTTACGCTGTGGCTTTTTAACTAACAGAGTTTTTCAATTAGTTGCATCGCTAATAATTCAGAATGCTGCTCTGCACTTGTTGCCCGCGGCCAATCGCATAGTTCAATGCAACCGACAATAGCTGCTGCACACTTTTAGGCGCACTCAGCATCTGCGTTCCTCCTCGCCCTTTCCCCGTTGGTTTCGGCTGCCACCTGACTGACTAATTAATAACTAATGATGTGCAGTGCGCTTATTGGGGAGCTGGCATACATTATCCCAGCCTAATGTCATTATATTGTAACTGGGGGACTGCTGCTACAGCTCGGCCAAGTCCCCTTCGCTTCGCCGCAGCCCTCGTTCATTCCGGCTCTGGCTCCGGCTGTGACTAACTGGCTGACTAACCGAGTGGCTGATGGGTTGCCGTTCTGGCCACCTGGCTAACTGCTGGCTGGCTGGCTGGCTGCATTGTCAGCATTGTCAGCCAGCGACACGTAGCCAACACACACGCACACATAAAGAAATGCAATTATGACAATCAAAGTGGACAAATGCAGTTGCAGCTGGCTGCCGATGGGGAGCTGCAGCTGCTGTAAAAGTAAGCTGCCAGTTGTGGGCTGCTTGATTGCCTCTCCGGCTGCCTGGCCTGACAAATGACAGCTGCAGCAGAGAGGTGGACAGGCCTGACAGGCGGACTGACGCCCACAGACGCCGCCTGCCCTGCCCCGCCCGTAACGTCTTTCCTCCGGCAGCTAGTTCTTTGGCTGCAGTTCTTGGTTCGAGTTGCTGTTAAAATCCACCTGGGACACTTTGATGCTGAGAGCCACATTGATGTGGGAAGCGGGCGTGACAAGCACGCACGCACACACACACGTGCTCAGTTAGCTGGAACGTTGTGTGCGCTTTAATTTTAGCCTGGGGAGCTTTGACCAAAAATTACCTAATAATAAGTAAGCAGGCAGCTAAAAGCCGTCCCTCGTCTCACTGCCCTTTTTCTCTTTGACCGCACTCATCCTGCTCTTGCTTTGGCCACACAATTTCAGAGCCTTGGAGCAGCACATACTTTAGATAAGCTCCATCTAATTTGCAACTAATTGCGAGTCATTAAAATCCACCCCCCCCTACACGATCCCTCAAGCCCCATGTGCCCCTTGCCGTGCCGGCCTTGGCCTTTGCTGTCCCTTTGCGCACACCCGCGCGAAAGTCCATTTTAATCTAGCAATTAAGGAATAATGTGTTTTAATTAACCGCTAAAATCTAAAAAGCGCGCATAAATAACCAATTGACAGTGGGCCAGCCGCTTGCTCACTTTCTCTCTCTCTCTCTCTCTCTCTCTGGATAGTCAGTCTCTTCATGTCTATCTCGCTCTCCCTCTGCCTCTCTCTTTCTCTCACTCACCCGCTTTGCATTGCAGCGACATCGTCGCGCCCATAAATTGAATTATGTTAAGCCCCGCATAATGGTCAAAATAATACGCAATTTGCGGCAACTCGAAAATGCTCGCGACAACGCCGGACACGCCCAACGTGTGCCACGCCCAACGCCCAACGCCCAGCGGCCAGCGGCCAAATCGATGAAAGTACTCCACACTGTCATCCGCACGGATAGCCACAGTCGCCGCGTAGCCACACACCCACACCTTAATTCATTCTTGGACTCCCATTTCCATTCGCATTTACCGCTTCCCGCTTTCCCACTCGCGCTTCCGTCGCCTCGTGTTTGTCTGCATATTTGTGTGTGTCTGTGTGTGTTTTGTATTTGTGTTAATTTTGGCAAAATCACTTAATCCTTTGAATATCGCCTGCGCCATGACACCTTAACCCACATACCCATTCCCATTCCCATGCCCACTCCCTTTGCTGTTCCCATTTCCTTTGCCATTGCCATTGCCACGGCCATTACTCCAAGAAACCAAAGCCGCCATTTCCACATTAAATGACGCGCAAATTTACATTTACTGAAGCCAGCCGCATTCGCAGCCAGGAGCAGCTGCCTGCGGTCCAAGTCAACAGCATCGACATCGACATTCACCTCCTCTCGCCCGCATTCTCCGGCTCATCCTCGACCGCCATCTCGACTTCGTCGTCATCGCATTAGTGACGCTTCGCAGATTATTTACCTAGGAATGCGTGTAAAATGACACCAACAACAACAACAACAACAATCTCTTGTGATTGCGACGTCACTGACCTGGCTGCAGCTCCAGTTGCTCCCCCTTCCTCCCCTGGCAGGCTATCGAAATCCACACCCGATGGATGCTTCTTATAAGTTGGCAACACGATGGCTGCTAGTCAATTTGCCAGTTAGGCCCTTGCTTCTGTGCCCGACCCTGTGAAAGCGTATTACTCTATTAAATTTAAATTAAAAATTGATTAAAATGAGCACGGGCCGTGGGTGGGTGGAGCACTTGCCACGCAGCTGGAGGATACACACAATTAACGTTGGCTTCTTGCCTCGAAATTGAGAGCCCGGCCAGCTGCCCTACACTTGCCGCACTTTTACATAAGTTGCGGACCACACGAAATGCGTTGCGGGTAAGCGTCTCCAGCCACGCGCAGGGGGCAAGGAGCAAGGAGCAAGGGCCAGCGGTTCGGTAGGTTGGAGTCGGAGCTTCAGAGCTTCTTGCTGCGTTTTGGTAAATTAAATTTGCGCATTACGCAAATGAGCAGCGCGCGAGGCACGCGGCGGGCGGTGTGCGGCATGCAACGAACCCAAGCGACAACGAACCCTTCCTTTGGGGCAAAAGGATGCCGCCTAATGATCCCTGGCTCAAAAGTCAAATTGAAAGCAAAAGCTGTACCAGCTGCAGCTGTGGCAGGAGCTGATGGAGCACCAGCTCTTGTTTAATGTGGCTGCCAGTCAATGTGTTGCGATTTGATTGGATTTCTGCGGTCAGACAGCTGTGAATGTGTGAATGAGTGCGAATGTGAGTGTGAATCGATCTGTGAATATCTGTAGCAATTACTAAGTCTCGTTCCGATTGTCAAACGGTCTTACGTTCACATTCAATGCATTCCGGACGTGCCGCAGAATAATTATTATTGACAATCAGTTTCTGTCCACCTCTGGCATTTGCAAAGGTACCATTACGTTTAGCGTAACATTTGGGGCTCTGCATTTAAGCACTTCCCCATGCCTTACGTTACATGATAGAAAGGCGACTAACTGTAGTTGTTCAAAGGCCTACGCTACGTACTCTCTTAACGTTACGTTATAGGCATTTGCATTAAATATGTAAGCTATTAAAGCGTTTTTCACCAGTTGAGTATAAGGCCTTAATATAAGAGTTTATTGTTAATGTTACGTAAGTGATTACGTTACGAGTTAACCATTTTCATAGTAGGTTTAACATAACTTTCATTTCACATTTAAAAAATCCTTACGTTACGCCTTACGATACGTAAGAAAACTCGATACGTGGTAAGAATTTGCATAGGAAATGTCAGAAATCTTTACGATTTACGTCAGTTTTACGAAGCACCTAAATAAGCCTTACGTTATCCATTACGTTACGTAAGTAAACACTTCACGTCTTAGGTGGACAAACACATTTCTTACTTCTCACTAAATACATATTTTGCATACATTCAAGCTGATTTACGTATCTCAATTTAACACCAAAAAACGCTGTGCCTCGACGTAAGCGAGCTCAGATTCAACAGATGACTTCTGGTCTTACGTAATTAACTACCCATAGTAAAGTTCTGTTTCACATTGCTGCCCATCGAGCCTTATGTTACGTAAATCATGGCAGTGCCCAGCAACCCCTTAAGTAAGTCAACCCTTATTTCGATCCCAGTTGGACTTAAGCAGACAATGGCGAACCCTTCCTTCAAACATCACCAATCTATTTCCATGGCTGTCTGATGATGTCTGGCTGCCCAGAAGTAGCGTGGAAGGAGAGAAGGGAACTGGGGGGACGTAGTTGTTACGAAGGTGGGGTTAAGGATAATGTTCTTGTCAGCTATGCGCCGTGATTTGATTGAATTTTTGTGGTCTGGCGCTGACGCTGACGCTGGAGAATCCCTGTCGAAGTCGAAGATTTGCGTGCAATTTCTTTTTACGTTTTAATTAAAAAGTGTCGCTTTGTGTGAATGTCCATTTGACTGATGGCTCAAACTAGACGGTGAGAGCAAAAGAGAAAGAGAGTGAGAGTGAGAGCGAGAAAGGAAGAAGTAAACGCTAGCTGGAGACGTAGCAATTAAGCCGCCGTGTTGCCCCCCTGTCGCTTGGCTTAATGAAAACGATTATCGACTGGGATGACTCGCTTGCCAAATGGAAATTGAGCAGTTGGGAGTTGAGCGCTACGCGGACTGACGGGCTGGCGGGCTGTCTGGCTAGCTGGCTGGGGATGGGCAATGGGCTACAAACTTATTGCTTTACAAATTCTTTAATAAATTAAATGTCCTGCCAACGTTAGCCGTGTACAAATGAATGGCATCAATGGCCCGCCCGCTGATTGAACCGGGGGCAGAAAGGGCTGGCAGATAGATAGGATCGAGTATAGAGTGGAGCATTGAAGCGCGCGCTTGAGTGCTCAACTTTATCATCAGTTATGTGTGCCGTGGCATGCCGAGTCCTGGCCGTGACTAGCCCCCGGATCGCCTGATGGATGGCTAAATGCTTCGATGCGCCAAATGGACAAACCTGACAAACTTGCACGGAATCGGGTGGCGGGCGTCAAGTAGCCAAATGGCCAGTTGCTAAAGGGACGCTCAGCGATACACAAAATTAAATTAAATGTAATTTGTCGTTGAGTAAGTATTTTGCGGGCAAACGACAGCGTCGCATTTGTCAAATGTGTCCCAGTTCGAGCCCAAGGCTTCGAAGGATTCGCCTTTGAAGTGCGGAAGCCCAAGCGGAACCGAAACTGAAACCGAACTCTACAAACTGAAACTGAAACTGAAACTGAAATTAAAAGCCATTTTGGCAGCTCCTCACTCACTCAGTCGGTCAGTTAGCCAGTCGGTCAATTGGTCAGCTGAAATGACAGCCCAGCCCGCAGGCAGACAGGCTCGCAGGCGGCGCATTGCGCATACGCCGCATGCGCCGACACATTTATGAGAAGAAGTGCACAAAAGCCATTCAAACGTGTGTAACAAAGACGAAAGGAAAATGGAAATGGAAAAACAAAAGGAACGAGCCGGCTACGAAATTAAAATGAGCTACTCAATTACGCAAATTAAAACGTAAATGAAGGCAGCCGCGTTAAACAAACAAACGGGGCAACAAACAAACAAACAAACGGCAAAAGGCATAAAATATCTGAAAAAGAAACAAAAAAAAAACAAAACAACAAAAAGGGAAGTGCAAAAAGAAATGAGAACAATGTGACTTCTTTGTTGTTGTCTTCTGTAATTTTCTTCTTTTCTTTTTTTTTTAACAATATAATAAAGTTCGTTGAGGTCGCCGTCATAAAACGCGTCAATGAGGCAGCTCAACTCGTTGAACCCTTGAACCCGCGGGGCACCCCTCAGCCCAGCCCTAAGACCTAATCCCCTGCCTGAGATTCTGCCTCTTTGCCCCTGGCATGTTGAGGGCCAATAAAATCAAATTAAAAGGCGCCAAAGTGTCACGATTATGAGTCTTTAAGTGAAATCAATTAAAAAAGCAGAAACAACAAAATGAAAAAGACAGAAGGCAAAAGGCAAAAGGCAAAAGCAGCAAACGAAAACAAGCTGGCAAAAATGAGCCGCCCAAAGCCGAGCCGGCCAAGCGGCAGCCAGTCGACCAGTGGAGCAGCCCCCAACACCTGGTCCTTGGCATGTGTCAAACTGTCGACCCTGTCGCCAACGCCTCTGGGCGCCATTGGGGTGCGCCATGCAAATTACACGGCTAACAAATGGTCCGCCACGTCGGACCTCGGACCTCGGACCACGGACATCGCTACTCTGCCAGAAACTGCCTCACGCCGCACACTGCATACACTTGCAAACTGTTGGACATGTCTGTAACTCGAGACGGCAGCTGAAGGATCGGGAATTCAGTAAATCTTTTATAAACTACTAGTCACAAATGTGACGGAGTTTAAATAATTTCGTGTCTGAAATTTCTATGTATATTTTACAACTTTACAAACTTTGTGGGAGTATAAAACGAACGTAAAGGCAGAAGGCTGGTTTGAATCGTGCAGCACGGCACGGATTGGATGCTCTACAATTGTGCTTTCTGTGTTATGGTCAGCACTTTCTCCAACAATCTCTCCCGTTCTCACTCGCACTCTTTCATTCCTCTCTCTCTCTCTCTCTCTCTCTCTCTCTCTCTCTCGCATTCTTCTCCCCTATTAATTGCCAAGCATTGTGTGTCCATGATTTCTGCTGCATTTACTCATTACTCTTTGTGCTATACATGAGTATACTCATAATACCAATACTACTCCGCCTTAAACCTGCTTTTACTCATATTACTCATTCCTTTTTAATTGACTTTGAATATTAATACTAACCACCTGTAAGTTGTGTGAGTGTTGATGGGGCATGGCAAGTACTAAGTGGTATGCAAAGCAATGCTTATTGCTGATTTTGTCTGTGCACTGCGGGAATGCAGCAAACTGTAATGTGATTACTTTGTGCACCGTCAGTTCATATTTATTACACGACCCCCCCTCGTTTAACAAATCGAGTGTCGATTGCAAGCGACTCCTGTTTGCAGCTGCCACTCGCGGATGCCCTTGCTGGGCGCCGCTTTGAATACAGCTGATGCCGCTGGAGTAGATGATGGCGTGGGGCAAGTTGAGGGGGCAGGCATTGCCACGAGGCGTTCGGGTAATTAAATTATGGCGCCTGTTGCCGCGAGATGGCGCCACAACTGACCCGGTTGAGTTAAGTAATTTTTTATGGCAAATAATTAAGCTAAAGCGCACATTTTTGGGCTAAATGCAAAAACGAGCAGCGGAAATAAATGAAAAATCATATCAAAGTCGAGCTGTCAGCCGCGCGTGTGTGTGTGCATGCGTGTATGTGAGTGTGCACGTGCGTGGTTGTGCGTGTGTGTGTGTGTGTGTGTGTGTGTGTGTGTGTGTGTGCAGGCAGGCTAACAGCAACAGGAAGTCAACGGCGTGCTTCCTTTGAGCTTTGTGTTTTTCTTCATTTTGTTTTGGGTTCTTTTTTGTTCGCTTCTTCTTGTTTTGTTGCCCATTTATACAAAGAAATATTAAATTAAGAAAAGATTTTTCATGCTGCTTGTTTTTTAATAACTCGCAACAACAATGGGAAACGCCTGCAGCTTCAGGCCCTGCTCGGGGGTGTGAACTGTGTGTGCATGCGCGCGTGTGTGTGTGTGTGTATGTGTGTGTGTATGTGTGTGTGCCACAGCATAGGACTGAAGGACTGCCGTTGGGGAGTGGAGCGGTAAAATTAATAAAACTTTAAATTGCCGCTAAAGGCAGCAGCAAGTGCAGCAGCAGCAGCAGCAGCAGCAGCTGGAGAGTGGGGCGAATGGCAATGCGTGTGGGATGTGGGGTGTGGGCGAGTGTGTGGGCGAGGGGTAGACGAGCGGACAGGGACAGAAACTGATGTGAACGCGGTACGACATTGGCCATGGGCACAGCAGACAGGAACTGAGCGACTGGCCCTGTCCAAGACGGGAGGGAGGGGGACAGAGAGGGAGCAGTCTCCGACTCGAACTCAGATTCTGGAATGTTTAATGGTCGCATTTCGTTTCATTAAAAATGTATGCGGCCTTAAAAGCTTTTGTTGTTGCTGCTTCAATTGTTGCTGCTGTTGTTGTTGTTGTTGTTGTTGTTGTCAACGCCGGACGACATTTGGTTTGAAATTTAAGTTAAGAATCTCGCATATGCGGCAGCCGTGGCCCAAGCTGTTGACTCACTTCGGCAGAATCAAAAAACATTCATCATATCAGCAGCATATAATACATATAGGAATATATGCCGTATCATATTCTATATATATGCATATATGTATGTATCGATCGGGTCAGCTGTGTGCTTGTCGTGGCATTATCCTTTCGGGTTGGGCCATTATATCATTTGTGGGCGCGTCGTTGAATTTATTGTGCGGATGCTCGTGTCGGCTATTAATCTATTTTTATTTATTTCTACTTATGCGTCGGACTAGCCCCAATCCCCCCGCCGGGCCCCAGCCCTGCCCCATGGCCGTGGCAAACTCGTGCTCGAAATTATAAGCAATTGAAATAAATCAAAGTCCAAAATAGTAAAAACGTCGCAGGCGAAACGAAAAAAAGGGGCAGAAAAAAAAAACAAAAGTATAAAACTAGAAAATGCTATCTGTCGCATGCCGAGCACTAAATACACTAACTTTACATAAAATAGAAATCTTCGAGAGCAAGGCATTGTTAGTTGAAATAAAAACTTGTAGTACAGTGTATTGCTGACATAAAATTAGTTATTTGCTATCCATTTTCGATCTAGCTAATTTCGAAATGCATAAGCTATCGTAAATCCAATATCGAACGAAGTTGTGCTATGCGAATCACGTAGAAAGGCGCAACGCAGCTACTCGCTCTGGCTCACAAGCGTTGGCTCTCAGCTGTCCAGCTTAACGATTCGTTTAAGCTGCTGGGTGTGTGTTGGTGTGTGTGACATTGTCTCTGTGCTCGTTCTCTCTGTTTGTTTGAAGTGCAGACTCCGGCACCCATGCGGCACTCGTGCACAATTTATACTGCCCTCAGTCCACATTTATTGCAGCAATAATTCATTTAATTTTCCTTGATTTACTTTGTCAATGCCGAAGATGTTGCCTCTCCTCCCCAGCCTGGCACTGGATTGGCAGCCAAGCGCTTGTTAGCTGCGATTCGGGCATTTTCTAGCATTGGAGAACGCGAGCGAAACCAACAACTAAGCTGGTCAAGGGGCAAAGGTCCTTAAACACGCCACGCCCCGCCCGCCAGCTTGTGTGTGTGCGTAATTTATGCCACGTTTGCCACTTTTGTCATTTCGCTTGCTGCGTGTGTTTCCTTTTTTTACAGACACTTACGACTGTGTCTTTTCTGAGGGGGGGCTATGCGGGAGAGGGGTGTGTTCGACTTGGGGCTGACTATACCCATACGCATTTATTCGTATCGTTTGCCAGTTTGTTTGTCTGCTTTGTTTTATTGACACTTTTGATCTTTTTCAATGCATGCTCGATTCATTTATTATGTGCGCCAGGACTT